TATCCAACTCTTGTCATGGTCTGATCATTTCCTTTTAATTTAATTTTTAAATTTTTATTGTCAATATCAATTGGGGTTTTTTCGGATCATTTATTTAATGTCCCTTTTAATTTTTGTAATATGTGTTTTATTTTATGTTGTACACCGCCCTGAGTCCTTGGGTGAAGGGCAGCATATAAATCCAATAAACCTGAGCCTGAACCTGAGAGCCCCTGGGTTTTATGCCCTCTCTGGGCTTTTGAATTTGAGTTTGTCTTTTTATTGGTTGTCAGACTCCCATGGGGCCATGCAGGGGAAACTTTGTAGGCTGTCCTAAATCCCAATCTTGGTTGAGCCTTGCTGGATGATGTAATCTTCCCAGGTGCCATGTAGTGAGTTTCTGTTGCTAGATGGGTCCTATTATATCCTGGAGGCCATGTCTTTTGTGTTGCAGATGAGCTGGCCCAGGCCTTAATGGCCCATTAACAAAGGGGGGGGGGTGAGTTTCTGCCTCCCTTTTAGGGGAAATATTCTGCCCTTTTTAAATATTTCCTAAAATATTTCATTTTGTAAGAGAAGGGTGGGTTTTAACTTCCTACAATATGATATCCTTGAAGCTAAATTTATCAACAGTTATCCAAGAACTATCAATCTAAAAGTTAAATAGTATTCCCAAAATATAGGAGCTGATGGACTTAATAAAATGGTCATAATGCAGCAGCCCTGATTTGGCATAATAATTGACTGAGTGATAAATTAAGAACCTAACATTACAATGGAAGATAAAGAATATTTCACTGCAGGGTCAAAATAAGCAGATAAAAAGTGACATGGGGATGTGTTCCCAGGTCTCATACATCTGATCAGATAATAGTACTTAGAATGCATCTGGAAATAATATTACCACAAACTTCTGTGAGTGGTCTGTGTAACAGCCATGAACTACTGAAGTAGTAAGTACTGTACAAATACTTTAAATAAATAACTAAATGCACAAAGTGTTGTAACATTTATTAGCATTAATTAGAACTGCTGTGACACTTCCATGAGTGAAAATTACATTTATAATGCCAGTAATAACACCTGTGGAACTCATCCGAAGTTGCAAATAAAGCCAAATTATTAGTGACATAATAAATTATTTAAATTAAAGACAAAATTAATGCTGTGAAAGGCAAATATCCTGCCCAAAGCAGGAGTAAGAGGGCACTGGGTTTTTAGGTCTACAAAAAAAAACAGGCACTTAGCAACCTTTAATACAGGTTGGAGTCTACTCAGATAATGCAAGAACATTTTGAAGTTCAAAGAAGATGAAATCTCACAATAGGTACCACTGTTTTGGGGGTGGGAAGTGCTGGTTATGTTCTGTGCATGGAGCTGGAACTAGAAGGGATTGGTGGAGGAGTGGTTAATCTTAGTAAAGAGTCTAGTTTTCCTTCATGCACTTACTCATTGTATGGCACTGCTTTACTCACCTTGGAAGCCTCACTACCAATTTTAAGATATGTTCTCCAAATCTGGCTTAGTTATTATTTATGTTGTTGAAACCAATAACATAAACTACAACAACAAATATGGTTTAAATAAATGCAGATGCTTCCAAGCTCATTTCCTGTCATGTGGGAGCAAAAACAAAAGTAACCAAGCCAAATGAGACCAGGCATATTCCACCTCAATAAGGTATAGTTTATAAAGTGATGTTTGAATGTTTCTAAAAGTCTTTGCAATCATAACATCAAGATGGACCCAAATTAATATTTATATCTTGCTCATTAGGAAGTGTGCAATTTTCACATTGGTGAGTTAATGGTAGGTCTGAATGGGCAACTTTCATCCCATATGCAGTTAACACGTCTGACCAAGACAACATGAAGATTAATTTACAGAAATATACCATATTTTTGGAGTATAAGATGCATCTTTCCCTCTCAAAATAGATGGTGAAAATCTGGGTGCATCTTATACACTGAATATAGCATTTTTGACCTCCCAAAAGCCTGCCCCCTTTGCAAAAATTGCCGTGCAGAGCCTTTATGAGGCTTCTAGAGTGTTCCTGGAGGCTGGGGAGGCAAAAATGAGCAAAAAACAGGCCATTTCTTACTCATTTTTGTCCCTCCCCAGCCCCCAGGGGCCTCCTAAAGGCTATGCATGCCCCCCTTTTTTGTTTACAAAAAACGGGCCCGTTTGGGAAGGTCTGCAGAGTGCAAAATTTTTTTTTTATTTGCCTCTTCAAAATCTTGGTGGGTCTTATACTCTGGTGCATCTTATACTCCAAAAATATGGTAGTTTGGGAATTATAACATACAGCATCAATTCCTTTGACTCCTTCTGAGAGAAAAAAAAGTTATTCCAGGCCAACGATGGCAAAGCAGTTCCAGAATTATGACAAGATGTTTATTATAATCCCAAGAAGAAAAATATTTCGAGAACTGTTTCTGAGCAAACATCTCAAAAGTAAACTTTTGATCCCTTTCAAACTCAGCTGTATTTAGGAGAACAAACATCTCTGACAAACAATGAAGGATCAGCAACTGACCTGCTCGGCTATTCAACAGCCCTATTCTACAGCCTTATTTACAAATACTCTCCATGGGCCTGAAGGAAGAGTTAAGGAAAGCAATACATTGCAAAACGCTGTGGAACTTTACAGAGGTCATTACTGGTTAGCATCTTTTATTTCTGACCCTTTTTATAACTTCAGTGATGACAAGTTCTTCCATGTTGAGGAATGTGTGTTCTCAGCTGTTCTAGCAGCTCAGCTTGCTATGGTTTGGGAGTCAGTCATCCACACATTATTCTAGATAGACCATAAAGGAATCTTACATGAACAATCCATAACGGAAAGCATTTTCCTCTCCTACCTTAACATCGAAGCGCTCGTCACGTTTGCTGGGATCTTCCCTGGCCAATATGCAACTGTGGGCACGCGGTGTCCTCCTTCCCAGGTTGTCTGTTTTGCTGAGCTACCACCTGTAAAATTTAAAAAGGAAAAAAAAACCATGTTTTCACATGCTTGTTTGGCCAATAATTTTATATTTAAGCAATCAATCAATAAAAAAAATGAAATAAGTGTAAAAGAAAATAAACATTTTTGGCCAAGAAGACAAAATGCCATAGGAAGGAAAAGACAAGGGATGTATTAAGAGATGCAATGATACACCAAAAGAAAAAAAAAGGAAAATAGTTGTACATACAAAATAAATATTAGTGTAATGACTCAGTATTGCCTCATTTTCTTCTGAAGAGCCAAGACCCCAAGATCTACTCAGTGTCTAAGATATTTTTGGTTTTCTTTGCCAGCTCAAGGTTGACTTTGCCTTCCATCCTTCCGAGGTCGGTAAAATGAGGACCCAGATTGTTGGGGGCAATAGGCTAACATTTGTAAACCATTTAGAGAGGGCTGTAAAGCACTAGGAGTCTACATGCTATTGCTATATGGCAGCTTCTGAAGACTAGAAGTCGTTTCAAAGAGACAGCGTGACGTAGTATGGCAGTGGAGGGATTCAATTTATTTTACTACCAGTTCTGTGGGCGTGACTTGGTGGGCATGGCATGGCTTGGTGGGCATGGCGGGGGAAGGATACTGTAAAATCTCCATTCCCACCTAACTCCAGGGGAAGGATA